ATGTGCATGACTGCATCATGGTTACAATTTACCAGGCATTACATTGAGAAATTAGTAGCAGAGAGCAAGCAGGTGGATCTGCTCGATCCTGTTTATACCTGTGGGAGATCCTCAAAGACTCTCGCTGTTGGCAGGTTGGGCCGGTTTTTTGGTTCAGTATCTGCAACGGGGAGGAGCTTGTGAGTATGTCTTGTTTTGCAACTCTAAAATTCCACGAGAGGTAACAGTAAATGAATTCGCTGCCTGAACAAGGAAAGATCAAGGAACTTGGTACGCGAGAACCGAGACAGCCAAGCTATTGCCCGGTCACGAAGGAATCGGCACCGGATATCATGAAATTTTCAGTTCCGAGATGCGTTGGAGAGAGTACGTACTTGCAGGCGGGTGAGCAGGGAGCGTCGAGCGAGCGGCGCCGTCGTGGTCCTCGTGGATCGCCGTGGATCGGGACGGAGAAGGACCTGGCGGGTGCTGACGGCCGGGGGAGCCGGACATGGCGAATTGGCGATCTCGCCGTCCTTGGGAAGCTGTGTTTTCGCCTGATATAGCGTCGGCTCTGTTTGCATTTCTCGTTTCAGCTCCAACACAGATGTGCACACGTGAGTTCAACTTCTTTTTTATGCATAACCCTTTTCTTAGATGGGTCTGACCGGCCGTGTGAGTTTAACTTTGGAAGCAGGAGTTGTCCTGATCAAATACGGTCTTAGAGCAACTTTAACCGACCCTCCAAATTTTAGAGTTGCTCCTCTAAAATATATCTATCTGTTTCTAACGGATCCTCAATGTTTAGCGGAGTAAAAAAATTGAGTGGCACGAGCACAAATTTGACGCACACAAACACAAATTTGGTTCAAACAAGTACCTAACACATACTTATACAAAGTTGGTGCTGATTCGGAATATTTTACATAGACATTTAAATGAACTTAACTGAAATTTAGACTAAACTTAACCGAAACTTACCACTCGCTATCCGTCTCTTCCTCTAGCCTCTTCCAATCAGCTCTGAGCCCACCGATCATAGTGGCGGGGCGCTGACCGTTGTTGCCGCCATCGCCGTCAGAGTCGATGCAGAGATGGATGACCTCCGCCGCCCCGGTCGTGTACTGCTCGTACAGCTGGCACTCCATGTGGACTTGCTCCGGGTAGCAGCAGCAGAGCTCCGCAATGCAGTCCTCATCAGCTTGCTATGTCGCGATGCGGTCTCGGGCTCCTCTCCCGTGTGAAGACCACCCACTGGTCCATGGGCTCCAACCGCAGTATACAGTAGCCCTCCTCCCCCCACCCGAAAGGAAAGCTGCGGCGGATAGTGGCGCCGTGCAGGTGGACCGACATGATGTCGTACTCATGCGCCACCTGCTCGGCTGAATGGAATGATCCGATCCATATTTTCTTGTTGGTGTGTCGATTGGTTATCTCAGCCACCCACGGTCCCCAATTCCGCTACCGCATGCCCATTACTGTCTCGGTGGCAAGGGCGGGAGGTTAGGGAAGAAGGGTTGGCGCCATGGGAGGAAGAAGAGCCGATGTGGACACGGGCTCGGGGCCGCTCGTGGCGGCGCGGATCCGCGTTGCGGATGGGCGGCGGGAAGCGGCGGTGGTCGGATCCAGCCATTATCGGCGGCGAACCGCCATCGGAGTGGGTGTGTGTGAGGTGGGTACTCACCGGCGTAGATTGGGCAGCGGGGATTGGGCGAAGGAGAGGCGGAGAGGAGAAGTTGGTTATTACTCCCCGTCCGTGGGGTCGAGTAAATATAGGGATCATGTGCCACTCTTAGTATTTATTTATTTTACTCCTCTAAGGGTGCACGCTATGTGGTGGCCAAGGCAACACAGCACAATGAGCACTTGGGCTTGGTGGCACCAGATCTAAGATGTGGGGGTTAACAATAGTGTGAGGATAGCAGGAAGTGGAAATATAAAAGATGGATGTTTGACCCATGCAAGTAGTTACAAATCAAAAAACCGCCTTGAATACTTATGAACCAGAGGCCAGATGTGGTTTTATAACCGCCTCCAACTATTCCTACAAGCGGTTGCATTTCTTTTTTGAACCGCCTTTGAAACATAATAACGCATGTGAGTTATTACATGTGGTTTCGTTTATTACGGCACAACCATTTTCGGAGACCTCTTCTTATGCCTTTATATGTACTATAGTGTACTCACATGTGTTTATCAGGATGTTTATATGCACTGGGTAAGCAATGTAAAACATAGGTAGTCTTCTAACCATAATGTCATTAAAACCAAACCCTCGTTAAGGCAAGATGTCCTTCACCCGGCAACGGCGTTCAGTTCTTTTTACATCAATCATAGCAATTATAGTAGTGTAATCGTATCATGCCAACCAGAGAGGAAATGTTGTCCAAAGCTAATACTATCATATTCTTCTAAAAGAAATACTATGATTAATTGATTATACATTATATATGATGGTACACACTAAAAATAGATGAGTTATCTCTACTACTTACGAAATGTAAGGTTCCCATTTCACTCTTTAATTCCTCCAACTTCACTTCTTCTTCTTCTTTTATTTTTTTCTCTTTCATCTTTGATTTTTCTTCCGCCGATTTTTCCTAAAATTGATTGAACTCTCCCACGTCTTATTAACTTACCAAAATAAAATAATATTTCTTTGGTAATCCATTAAGTTCTTATCAAACAAGTGAGTGACAATAAGATGGTAGGTAATCATGGTGATTATGCACAAAAACCTGCTAAATAAGTTCTTAACAGTAAGATGATAGGTAAATCATTGTTATTTATTTATTTATCTCTATACTACTTAAAAAACGTAAGGTTCCCATTCACCTTTCTTCCCACCACCCCTTCTTCCAACCTTTCATGTATATAATAATCAATCACCTTAATTTACTTACCTTCTGAACCAATTCCACTTTAATTTACTTACCAAACTTCTAATCAAAATATAAGGTAATTCATGGTTAGAATTATGAATATTTATTTACACAATCGCATTATTATTGACAGGTAAATCAGAAGCTAACGTACTAGAATATTTATATCCCGTTGCAATGCACGGGCATTGCTCTAGTACTACATAAAAAAAATTGTAAGTTTCCGATTTCACTCGTTCCTTCATCCAACCGCTCTATATATGTGCCCTTTCCCACCTTCATTTTTGTTTTTCCCTTCCATCTTTTGTTTTTCTTCCACCGGTTTTCCCTAAAATCGACTCAATTGTCCCATGTCTTTTTAACTTACCACAATAAAATAGTAGTTCTTTGGTAAGCCATTAAGTTCTTACCAAACAAGTGATTAACAACAAGATGGCAGGTAAATCATGATGATGGCGCACAAAAACTTGCTAAATAAGTCCTTAACAATAATATGACAGGTAAATCATGGTGATTACGTGAAAAACTTGCTAAGATTTTAGCGCACCAACATAATAATAAACATGCAGTCACGGGCTAATATCCTATAATGTTTATCCACCCGTTGCAATGCACGGGCAATTATCTACTTTATTAAACGAAACATGGTATATTGATGGATTTCTCTTAATATAGAGAATGATAAACAACGCCGGCAGTGATCTACCATTTGTTGTTAGCACAAAAGGGCTCAAAACCGACTGTATTTCACAGCCGTATCTAAGTATTGTTTCATAGTAGTGCATCTTGATGAAAATGGGTTTGCATCGAAATAAATGTTTCAAAGGCAACGCTACCAATGGTTTGATCTTTCGCGGAAAAAGAATAGTATGACATGAATATTAATATCCATACAAGTAAAAAAAGATAGTTGTGAAGACCCTAATGTATGGTAATAAAGAAATTGTAGGCGAACGAAAAGTTGCAATCGGTCATCTAAAGAAGAGCTTCAAACGATGTGAAACGTTTTTTTTTTCTATTTACTATTTGAAGTCTCACAAAATTGCACATTAATGAAGTAAAAATACAATCAGTTAATTTCCATCACGGGTCATCGACTTGCATATAAGATCCAGGTTATGCTCCACTTTGGTTGGAGGCTATTCATTAGCGGGTTAAGATAGCTTGTGGGGGAAGCCTCGTTGTATTTCAGTTAGGTTTTTTTAGGGATTATTTTTTGGTTAGTTAAATTAAATTATATGTTATATTTTCTTTCTAAAAGAAGGGTATGCAATAGGTGGAAATATAGATGAACCGTGTCTCACTGGCACACATCTTCTATCTAAAAGGTTCCCCTTGGTTCCAAAATATAATGCATTGTTTCATTGTTCAAATTCATACATTGACCAATAGTTAGTTCAATAGTATTTATTTGAAATTACAGGAAATAGACATCATTAGGTTCATCTTCAAAAACACTTTCATATCATGATGATACGTAACCATTGTCTAAATATTGTATGAGGGATTTACGGTCAAAAGTCAATTACAAGTAGTCAAATTACGCCTTATAATTTTGAATGGGGAAAGTAGTAAAGAACTAATGATATTGTAGCGCAATAACACAACTTGATGGTCTACGGATTTGAAATTCAAATTCCCGATCTCGCCCATTCGGAAAAGTATGACCAAAAAAATCATCAATTGGTATTGTATACCAATCCTTTTGTTTTTGAATTCCTTGTAAAACACATTTACAAGAATGGATAATCAGAATATCACACATGCATGCAGATTTCATTAGCAAACACAAATTTGCCAAACAAAAATAGCAGGCATGAAATGTAATTTGATGATTTTTCTAAAAAAAAATCTAGTAATCCATGCGTAATTTTGGGAATATAGTATAACTAATTCAGTGTAAAATTTTGTTAAAGCTTTTGCTTTTCTCTTAAGAATCTAAGTTATGCGCACCGCATGGTGCTTTCTTGCTTTACAATATTTTCCATCGCATGTTCAGTTTTTTTTTCAAATCAAGAAAGATTTCCCATCATGGTTCATTCATCTCCCCACCACTCTCCTCCCCTTCATCATGGCAATTAGTTCAAAGTTTTACTTGGTAACCAATACTATGAGTGAACATTGTATGTTCCATCCTTGCTATATATGGAGGCATGTATCATGGCATCGACTACACATCTCCAGGACCTCAAATTCAACATTTGGGGGGACTCTTCCGGCGATGCACCTACACGCAGCTTCCACGGCTCTACGAGCTCCGGGGAGATACGTCCTGCACATCGGCGAGCATTGGCCAATCTTTCTTGAGGATGACCATCTGCTAGTGGTACCCGACCTCCTGTCGTAGCGGTAGGTTGTGTCCAACGTCAGACGCTCGAGTGAGGGCGCACTCTCAAGGATGTAGATTAGGAGTTGGACCAGGCTCTTGGATGGACAGAACCCCGTGATTGTCACCTGCTTGAGGCAGTTATGCCGGTCATCTAGCCTCTGCCTCAGATACTCATGGTCGTCTCCAAAACCGAAGTCGGATCTAAGGGCACCCTGCTCTACCTGCATATACATTACACATGTAGGATCAACATTAATGGTGTTGTTCGATAAACAAGTTTAACATAGTAATTGGTACGGATAGCTCCAGGAGACGTGGATAGTGACTTACGCGCAGGATGAAGGAATCCAAGGTAGGAGAAGCATCAAGAAATGAAACCAAAGAGAAGACATCATAGCTCTTGGGGAAGTCCGTTATATTTCTAAAAGGTGGGAAGGCCATTGTTGGTCCGAGGAGTTCAATATCCAAGTGCTTGAGGCAGGGGAGCTTGGAGGCCATGGTTGGAACTTTGGCATTCTAAGGAATGATAAATCCAAGGATTAATCATATGTTTCTTCCAGCATAGAGGTGTGGCATGCATATCTCTATCCATTAAACAGTCCATCTATTATCTTGAAGGTGTTAAAATCAACAAATACCTCAGTGCGAGAGCGCAGGGTAAGGCTCTCGACAGTTCCTATGATGGATGGTAGCCTGGCGCGAGCATCAGAGAGAAGAATGCATGACAAATTTACATTCTTAAGCTGAAAAGAATTTCTAATGGAGATTTCTATCAGGGTCCCAACACAATAAAAGGAGCAGAGATTTGGAGCATCGATCTCTACCATCTTCAAACTCCTGCATTCTGTAATACTAAGGAAATTGAGTTGTTGCATTGTACAAGGTATTTGCAGACAAGTTATCCCACTACAAAAGAAGAGGACCAGCTGCTCAAGGGAAGAAGATTTTGAGAGCAATAGGCCTAATCCTTCCTCGCTAATGTCCACAAGAGTCAACTGTAAACATTTCAATCTTCTCAAGAGGCCAAGTGTGGACGTGGGGTGAAAAGAGCAACCCCAAAGGCCAAGAGATTGAATCGAACTCGCAGCTGCCTCGTCAGACAAAACGGAACAAGGAAAGTTGTATTTTTCCTTCATGAGTAAAGGCATTGCCAAGTCAAGTTCTTTGATCCCAGACTTAACGGTGACCTGGAGCCACACGTCGAGGCATGCGGCTTTGATATTGTTGCAAGGGGCAAGATGAAGTTTAAGTGTCTTCACCTTCACCCCGTTGCCATAATGGTTTTTAAGGATTTTGTCAACCTTGTCAATGATGTAGGTCTCTCTTTCCTCGAACTTCTTGTGAGTCAACCCAAGTGTTTCGCAGTTGAGTGTGAGGTTGGAATAGCATCTCCAGGAATGTAGAAGCCCACGAGATGCGCAGGCAGCACGCGCGGCTTCTTGCACCGGCAAGAGGGAATGTATACGGTGTACGATGTCCTGCAGAACCAGGGTTGACAAGTTTCAACAATTAGATTGTACTCCGCTACTAGTTGGCTGCTACAAACAAATCAAATCGTATCAATGATGTTCGAGATATATATTTAGTTTGATAGTGGAACCCGTCCCATGTTTTGGGTCGTATTGGAGTCTATGATGTTTGAGATATACTACTATATAGGTTGTTTCTTAGCCTGCAATGGATGAAGACAGTGCATAAATAGAGACAAGTATATGCAAGTGTTTTTGGCAAATTTACAGTGCGCATGATATCATGAACCACTGAATTTTCATGCAAACATATCGAGCACACCTATATCCAGATTCATCACAAAATCCTTGTACTTGCAGTTATGATCAAAGTTTTAAATAGCCGGCTATAGCCACGCTATAGCGGTTTGAGCAGGTGCCGCTAAATGGTATTCATGTAGAATTATCCGGTGAAGTTACAAAATAGCGGGGGCTATAGCTATTTGAGCAGGGTGCCGCTATTTGGCATATCCAACTATTTAAAATTATGGTTGTGGTCGACACGGTTCTTATTTGCGACAGTGGTAGCGAGAACAGTATACCTGTGGGAGTCCCTCGAAACCAAGATCTTGACTCATATTTCGGCGAGCGCCTCGGGAAATATGGCCGGTTGCATGCACCGTCTCCCTCAGCCGGCCGATGAAGCCTCTGGTTCTGTCCACTATATATCTCCAATGCAGCGGATACGGTAAGTACTATTGTCCCACCTTTGCTGATGCAACCGTGAGATTCTGCGGAAGGGAGCCGTGAATTCTCAATGACCAGATCGATTTTCGCCTGGAAGTAGAGGAGAAGCGCGACGTGTTGGGATACACGGTACATACTTGACGCTGCGGCAGGAGTAGGGGTCGCCGTGCGTGGACGGCCACCAAGAGGGCGTCGGTTGGAGGCGCCGGCGAGGGGACATCCGGATTGCCGCTCTCGCCTGAGCGCGCGCTTTGAAGGTTTCGGCCGTGCCTATATTTTCGCCGGAAACGGCGGCCTTCGTTTCCCGTTTTAGGTAGCTCCAATCCGGGGCCAAATCTCTGAGCTGTTACGGCTCACATCGAGGAGGTTCTGTTAACCACGTTTTCAACAAGGTCGTTGTAGTATAGTGGTAAGTATTCCCGCCTGTCACGCGGGTGACCCGGGTTCGATCCCCGGCAACGGCGCCTTTACTTTTTCTGTTCCTTCGTTTTGACTTCAGTTTTTTTTCTCTGTATAAAATTGTGCAGTCCCTTCAGAATATTCAGTTGCACACCACCCTCTTATTATGACAAAATTTTGTTGCAATGCTACTCATTTAGGTACTGGCACTTACAATTTGTCAATAAGTCATGGAAATGCAGCCACTTGGCACAATAATTTTGTTCACACTCATGTTCCCTGCCCAAGCATACGCACCATGCTATTCAGTTATGACTTGTATCATTTGTGCTTTCTGTAAATGAATTCATGTTCCGGAACTTAGATGCTCTGAATCTTTGTGATTTCGTGCTGTAATCAAATCCATGTTCCAATGCT